ATATAAAATTCCAAGCAAAAACTTAGTCCACTTCTGGCACAAATGGATCAAATTTTCTTTCCTTTTTAATTAATTTTTAATCATTTCACCCCAAGCATGGAAAACAAAGCCACTAAGATGCAATGTGTTTGACTGAGTGCCAAATGAAATGAAAAAAAAAAAAAATTTCTTTTTGATAAGAGAAAACATTAAAAGAAATAGGAATTAAGAAGACAGAAATAACAATTGACATTGCATTTTTTTTTTGAAGATTAAAGTTGAAAATTAAAAAGAAATGGTTTCAATTTTCATTTTGAGAAGGTGATAGAAGGAACTGTTAACATCAAACTTACGCAACATAATCTCCACAGGCCATTTCAACTGTAAAATGATGGAGATATTGCCACCAATCTAATTTTGTGTTTAAATTCATAAAAGGTAACAAAGAGGAAATGTCTCATCAGAATAATTACCATAAAAAATCTTGATATTAAAATTTTTTTAAAATCCAGATGTTAGGTCAAAGAAATAACATTGAAATTCTTTCAAATTTTTATTTTAATCTTTAAATACATAGCAAAACACCAGACCAAATGTGGCAGTGGTAGACTTTATTATATTGTTTTTATTAAATGAATTTTATTACATACCTGAATTGATTAGTATCAAGAATCAAGTTTTTTATTTCGAATATGGGATAGAATTTTTTTTTAAAAAAACATGTATGAATTTAATATTTCATTTTGAATAATAGAATGTTGGGATTTAATTTTTAAAAAGGTCCTTTATTGTTTCCATTGAAATCAAAATTGCATATTTATCATTTAAAATGTATTTATAAAAATGGTATTTATGTCAAAATTAAATATAGGGAATTTGAACATTTCTTGCCATATATTTTATTAACCCTCTTTAATGTCATGTAATTCTGACTTATTGTGAGAGGGGACTTATCAGGGAAAAAGACCTATCATGACTCTGGCAAACTGAACCTATGAATAAAAAAATTTTTTAAATTAACTCAACCATCAAACTAAAACTGAAATATCCCCCATTAGACAAAGCATGGTATTAAATAATCATAACTTGATAATTTGAGATGCTAAAACAAAAAATTAAAAATATCAAAATTTTTTTATTAATTATATATATATATACCTATACAGAAAAGACAAATTGTTTTTATAAAAAGTTTTTTAAATTCTTCATTACAAAGAATGTAAATTATAAATTAATGTTTGTTTGAACAGGTCCTAAAAAACATTTAAAGGAAACCAATTTTGCAATAGAAGATGTTGCTAAATAAAGTTTAAAATTTGACTACTTTTTTCAGTTTTTTAATTTGTTATTTCAAAAATTATTTTTTCATATATTTTTGAAATATTGAAATTTTTTGTTTAATCAAAATCTTCATGTAAAAAATCAAGTTGGCCTCTTTGTTTTTATTTTTTTTAATCTCTGAAAGTGTTTAACCACATAACAATTCTGCAACTAATTAAAAATCATTTTATATTTTCCAGGCATTTCTTTCATTTGAATTCAAATAAAAACATTTTTTATTTAGATTTTTTTATAAAATATTTAAATAATAATTTACATTTTTACATTGTTTGGGTTGTTGTCCTCATCTTTATTGTCATATTCACAACATTTTGGTAATTGTATTTTTTAGCAATTCTTCAGGTGATATATATGGAATTTCAAGGAACCCTTTATTCACGTTTACCAGAGTAGCCAAGTGGATAAAAAGCATTGGTAAAAAAAAAATAAAAAAATGAAATTTTTGTTAAATCAAACCCTGAAAAGTTCTTTTTAGGTTGGCAGAGGTGAACAAAAAACTTGAACAGAAAAGTTAATAAAAGGATTTAACTGAAACTGAGATATCCAAAAATTTAGGTTTTGTTAAATGTGGAATATTTTAAAAAAAATATGGACGAAATTTCCACAAATTCCATAACTTTCCAAATATATTATTTTTTTTTTTTTTTTGAAATTTTTGAAATATAAACATAAAACTCTTCAAGAACTCCAATTGAATGACCCTTAAAACCCAATATTTTATTCAGTCTCCTTCCCCTCTTCAGCAAAGTTGAAGCCCTAATCAATACCGGGGTGGTTAACCAATTCAATCCCATAATCTGCTTTTAAACAAGCAATATGGTTTCATTTTGTTCGATCTACAGCCAATCAAAGACAGCCATCATCTGAAACAGTCTACCGAATTAATTTCAAAATTTTTACTTTCGTTGTTTTTTGGGATTCAGACATCTCAATTTATTTGATAGGGTTTGGTATAAAAACAATTCTTAGAATTTTCAAGGGTTATGGCATTACGGGTCGATTATATAACCTAATAGATCATTCCTATCAAACATGAATTGAAGGTCGTTTCAAAATAAAATTCCTCCATTTAAAATAAATCAGGTGTTCCTCAAGGCTCCATCCTATTTAAATCTTCTAAAATTATCTACATAAATGACCTTCCTTTACCATAATTTTTTCAAGTTGGCATCTGGCGGATGACACCACAATTTATTCCTGCCTCAAAAACAAATAGACAGTCGCTGACAAAAATGTTATGGCGGTGTGAACATTTGAAAAGGACTTCCAATCGATTGTAAACTGGGGCATGAATTGGCTGGTCAACTTCAATGCTTCTAAGAAAAACTGCTCTCTATTAATCACCACAGAGATCCTTCCCTTCCCTCCATTAGAATGTCTTTTTCAACTTTCAAGAAAAAACCTCTGCGGCTTCTCGGTCTCACGTTGACTGCTGACCTGAGATGGAATAAATACATTGAGTCAATTGCCTCGTCCACCGCAAGAAAAGTTGGCTCCCTGAGCCGCGCCAGAAATTTTTTCTCCCCGGAGTCGATCCTCCAGATCTACAAATCAACAATTTGCCCTTGCATGGAGTATTGCTGCCATATAAAAATTGCCCCTTCTGTTTGCCTCGGGGTTCTTGATAGGCTCCAGAGGCGGATATGCAATGTAATTGGCCCTGCTCTGGCGTCTCGTCTACAGTCACTTTCTCACAGACGCGCCGTCGCCTCCCTCTGTCTGTTTTACAAATACTTTCATGGAAATTGCTCCGAGGAGCTGCATTCTCTGGTTCCAGCGCCTATCGAGGCTGGCATCCCGCTCTCACCCCTTCACTGTCGAAACTCCTAAATGTAGCCGTCTCTTCTACTCTAATAGCTTCATGTCTCGCACCTCTCGCCTGTGGAACTCCCTTCCCTATTCCTGTTTCCCTGTGATCTATAATCTTCAGCTATTCAAGTGTAATGTCAATCAACATCTCCAGTTGCCTTCATCTATCCACTACCCTCATCCTTTCTTCTATCACTCCTATCTGATCTTGCTCTAAACTTTCTGTAACCCCTTGCGTTCTAGTGGCTTCCCGCCTTGCTTGGGGTGAAATGCTTAAAAAATATCACCTGAAGAAGGCTGGAACGTACGATGGCCAAAAATGTCATGAACATGACAATAAAGATGAGGACAATTGTATGAACAATGTAAATAGTTACAATTCTCAGAAATATAGACAAATATTGATAAATAATAAATATTACATTGTAGTTTACAGATAATTTGGTAATTTTTTGTAAATTTTTTTAATAAAAAGATTTCTTTTCAAATTTATATCTTTTATAAAGTGTTTAAATAAATATTGCATTGGACTTGATTCACATATTTTTTTTAACCTCATAAATAAACATTGCCAAGAGAGTCAAAAGTGTATATAGTAATATTGGTGTCAGAGAAAAAGTTATCCTTTTGTCATACTTTGTGGACAGGAAGGTTAAACATTACAGATAACATTATGCTATAAACATTACTTTTTAAAATGAGATATAGGAATGTTTTTTTTAAAAATTAGTGGAACCACTTTTTTAAAAGGTCAAAACTTTGGTGCAGATTAATTTTACAAAATAAGTCCTTTTTATATGAACAGATGTTAGTTATGAATTAGTATTTAACTAATTCAATAGTAAATTTGTTTGGTGTTTCTATTTATCAAAGTTTAAATTTAATCTGAATCTATATAAATATGTGTGTGTGTTCATCTGTGTTTTGATCTTGTTGAATCATAGACAACCTGTAGTAACTACTGTAGTTACACACAATTAAAAATTAAATAAAGAACTCATTTAAAGTTAAATTTAAATATTGAACAGAGTGAAAAGTTTAAAAAACAATTCTTTATTAAAGGTTTAACTTTAATTTCACTTTTCTTAGCAATTAATATTGTCTAATTAAACCATAATTAAAACATAAGTGGGGTATGGTACATTGCTCATGTTTTTTTTTTTCTTTTTCTATCATGTGTGATGTGGCTTATTCAAAATTTTACATAGTTTGGATTCCTAACTAATGTCTTTTAAGAGTGAATTTATGTGAAGGGATCGTAAAGAATGGTCATTTTAAAAGAAAATAAGAATTATGTGTAAAGTAAATGTAAACAAAGTGTCAGATAAAGATAAAATAATTTTATTATTTTTAAATTCTTATAACTTTTACATACATAGGATGCTGAAGGTAAAATACGAAAGGCCCTTTGCAGGAGGGAGCCTAAAGTCTGCTAGTTTAAAATAAAAGAAAAATCAGATGGAAATATTAGTTGTTGTAGTCGGTTTCTTTGTGCTTGGAATAAAGTTCACTAATCTGTTTTGTTCAATAAACAACGTAGCATAAGTCAAACAATTCAACACACGTCTTCTATTTGCTACTACAATTACATTTCTCTGTTGCCTCGTCAAGTACTTTTTGGAGTGACTGGTCAAATTTTCCATCACAAAAAATTTTCACATAGATTTGATGACTTTGAGATCTATCATTTCTTAAATGTACAACTTGTAAAGTTGCCATTTTTCTTTTTGGAATACTTTACACACAAGACATGTTCAAACCTGCTTTCTACCAGGAGGTAAGCCTTTTTCTCTCATGTTACATTTGTGATTTTTTTTTTCCTCTATTTTTAGCCTGGATTCCGAATTGCAGCAACAGGAGTTGTTTTGGAAATGGATAAATCCACTGAAATTGTGAAAAAGTTAAAACTGACAGTCACCCCCTTCAAAGTGTTCCAAAAGAGTGCATTTATTAAGGTGAGAAGTTCATGAATATTTATTACTTCCAAACTAGATTAACAAGTGTTAACAGCTATTTCATTAGTGGAACAAAGGGACTATAGCTATAAATGTGGTGACCAACCATGTGACTGAAATAGTCATGTATTTCACTCTAGTGTATATTTTTAAGATAGGTCTTCTCCTCTTGGCCCAACACTATCTTCCTCACCTCATTTATCCTCTTCGTCTTGTGTATTACTAAAGTTTAGTAAATATCAAGAAGTACAACTCAAGAGAAGACATTTAATATCAGTAGAATAATAATTTAAAAGATGCCATTATCTTTAACTGTTTATGGGATTTTAATAATTAATTTGTTAAAAATTTAATTGTCATTTGTTGTTATAGTTTTGAGAATAACATTTGCTTTTCTTTTTAAAATTCTATGTGAATGAATTCTAAGTGTTTTTGCATTTTAATTTTTAATTTAACCCTTTGACCATCTCTTTACTGGTGGTAGAAAAAAAAATGATGTAATGCCCAGTTACTGGGTGAACAGTGGTAGACGAAAATGACTTAATGCCCAGCCACTGGTTGAATGGTGGGTAAACACATGTAACTATTTTTATATCTACTGTGAAACATTACATACAAATTATTTACAAATTTTGACCTGGGAGCTCAGGTTAAAATTGTTCAGGGCTAAAGTTGTTAAGTGCAATTATTTTATTTTTAGGTTTTAAGCTTTGTTTATAAGTTGTTTTTTGTAATAATCAGGCAGGTTGTATGTTTTATGCATATATTGTATAATTAAGTGATAGTGTTTGATTAGATCTTAGAATATTCTAGATATGTATTAAATTCAGGTTTTTTTTTTTTTTTTAATCTTGGATGTTTGGCTGGGCATAGAATATTCTAAAAATATTGTTAGATATTTGGTTATTGTTGTGTCCATCATGGAGTGAAATTCAAGATCTCAATATTTTATTCATTAAAGTTTTGATCTTTAGTAGATGTGATCAGTAAATTCATAGTGTAGTACCAATATCTAAGAAGACCAAAAATTCCTTAATCGAAACTTATTGTAAATTTATTTTCACTTGTGTGTTATCTGTAATTATTTCCATATAATATTAGTTTAATTAAATATTTCATATTTATTAGTATATTTATTAGTTTTTTACTAACAGTAATTGAAATTGATTTGTTAGTGAAAGATGCAAGGAAGTTTTAGTTTTCTTATAAATAATTCCAATAATTTTTCTCTCAATCAAAATCAGAGAAAAAAAATGAAATAGCCTTCCAATTTATTCTTTTAAAATAAACCGTTTTCAATTGTGTTTGGTTTGTAAAATATTTTTTCAAGTTGTAGAAAAGAAGCAATAAATTCATGAAAAGTTTAGCATTTATTTCTCAAACTATTACTTTTATATAAAAAATTTTTTATAGAATATAATATTGCCTCATCTGTCTGTAAAGTAACATGCTAAGCAAGAAGTGATGCATTTATCTTTGAAAATATAACCAATTTTGATAAAATGGTTATACATTTTGTAAAAATAGTCTGTTCAAAAACATAAATGGTATATGTTTTATATAGATATTTTTGTATATCTTTTGATGTGAGGAATTGGTTTATGTTGGTATAAAGTGTATTCATAACAGGATTTTTTATTTTTTTATTTAATTTTACATCTTCCTTTGTTTTCAGGATATGTTCAATACACCTTTGGAGGTTGCCAAATTTACTGGTGCCTGTCTTCGTACAGTCAGTGGGATCAGGGGTCAAATAAAAAAATCTGTTCACAATCCTCCTGGTGGTTTCCGAGCCACATTTGAAGACCAAATTCAAATGAGTGGTGAGTATTTGCTTTCAAATTTTGAAGATAGAAATTATCACACTTGTAATATTCAACTTGGTTTGACCAAAGTGGATCATGGCTTCCATGACCAAAAGACGTGTTATATTCAGTAACACAATGTAATTAAATGAAGACACATTTTATGAATCATATGACCAACAAAGTACACACTTGTTAGGTGCTGATGTAGATTTGGCTAGGAAACTTAAATATAACTGAATTTACACAGAAGTCCTTTTTTTTGTGTGTTAGAAATGGTCAAGATTTGAAATAAGGAATCCTTGCCTTTTGTTTGACTTTTCTTTTTATTGCTCATTAGACTAAAGAAAGAACTTGACCATACAATAGCAGATTGCTTTTTCTGCTATTACATGATTTTTTTTCTTTATCAAGTAGTTAAGGATTTTGATTAGTGCTCAGGTTGTTTAATTTTGCACATGACTTAGTATTCCAGTTGCTTACATTTTTTTATACTTCGGTCTCATAAATAGAAAAGATATTCCAATGTAACTAAACTACTTTAACATTTTTAAACTACCTTATATGTAAAAAAAAAAAAAAAGTCAATACAGAGTTTAACTTTATCTGCTCTATAATTCGGATAGATTAAGTGGTACATTAAAATTTTCTCTCATTAGAACATTCAAAATTTAATTTTAATTGCTAAATTGTTAGTTTAGTCAAACTCTTATTAAGTAGTAAAATTCTTGAATATAGTAACTCAAATTTTACTTCTTTTTTTTTTTTTTGGAGTATGTCATCTGATATAAAAAAAAAAAAAAAAGAAAAAACCATGAAAAAGAGCAGCATGTTAATACAACTTTTGGGAAATTTTTCTCACATAAATAAAGAAAAATTTGAATTTTCTGCTATTGTAGATATTGTATTTGTGCGCACATGGTACCCTGTTGATCTACCTCAATTCTATAACACCGTCACTTCCTTATTGTTGCCCCCTGATAAAAAGAATTCATGGAAAGGTATGAGAACAGTTGGGCAGATAAGAAGAGAAGAAAATATTCCTGTTCTACAGAAAGAAGATTCAAACTACAAAGTAAGACGCTCATTTATTTTCTGTATTAAAACTTACCTTTTTTTTTTTTTTTTTCTTAATTGTTTTTTTCTGGTGTGGTTATTAGTGCTGAAAATCAAATTGGTAAGCTGAGTTCAAATACTATCCAAGGCAGTTTGCATGCACTGATGTCCTTGGGTAAAACATGAATCCATCTTTCCTTTCTTTAGCTATGGATTAATAATAGGGTAGACTGGGCCTTTTAGCTTTGATAGAATAACAAGTCTAAGAAACAACAACAACAACTCTAAATTCAAACCCAACCTGAAGAGTGCTAGACTACTTCAGACTATCAAAAAACACACACCCCTTGCTGCTGCTGATGCAGTACATGAAGTACTCCAATGAACTTACAATGAAAATGACAAGAGAGAGCTCATTATATATATGTTGCCTGTGTTTTAACATACCTATGGACCATAATGGGTATGTCCCCATTCACATAAATACAGTAATAAATACTGCATGTTGCTCTACAGATGGAGATTCATTGTGGAATTCACTTGACTCACTTCTAGCAGTTGACTACTTCTTCTACACGCTGCTGGTAAATCTTATATGTGTTGTTCTTGTGCTCTTGGTAAGTACCCCAGACACAAGCCCAAGAAACATTTCAAGGATGTTATTAAAGACAACTTGCAAACTCTTGACGTTAGTGTCAAAGACTGTTGAAAAGAGGCAAAGAATATGAAAACTAGTTTTTGATGGTTGCAATCATTTTAGGTCAAAAAAGGGTTCATCATTTGAAGTTGAAAAGGGCTCTTAGGAAAGGTGATGTAGGCTTGATCCCAGAAGATATTCATTCTGAGTTTGTATTTAACATCTGCAGAAGGATTATTCTAACTCATATTGGATTTGTTATCTAAGATCATATGAAAATCAGCAATATAATGCCAACTATGTGAATATCCTTCCTGACAGACTTGCAAGGTATTTATGTCAGTTTTGTGATAAAATGGTCATGTCTGACATCGGACTAAAAAGGTACACAAGAATGAAGACTCTCCAAAAGTCTTTTGTATGTCAGATATATAAAAAAGGTATGCAGGAGTGAGTCTGGATTGTAACATTTGCTCAGCTCAATGGTGAAAAAAGATAGCTTACTTCTGTAAAAGAAGTTTCAATCTTTACAGAAGTAAGCTATCTTTTCACCATTGACCTGAGCAGATGTTGCAATCCAGTCTCACTCCTGCATACCTTTTTTTATATATATATATATATATATATATATATATATATATAGTGGACATCCTACCAGCTTGAATGAACTGATTCTTACAATTATATAGAAGCTTAGCGAACCGGTTGTTGGATTATCCAAAAATAATCTTATTAATAGCCAATTTATATAATAGCTAAAAATATATTTAATACCATTGCTGTAAGTTCTGCAGAGGCTGAAAGAGGGTTTTCTGTGATGAACATAATTTATTCTGACAAAAGAAATCATCTTGAATTTAAAAATGTGGCAAATCTTCTAGTCATAAATTTGATAGGATCTTTGGAGTTGCAGCGATTCGGTTTGAATGTTGCTAAGAAATCATAACACAGTTGAGTGAAAAGCATCAGACTTCTGAACAGAAATATGTTTAGAACATAATTTTATTCAGAAAATATCTTAATAAATAAATGTTTTCTATTAAATTATCAAAATGGTTTAATTCTTTTTGATAATATTTAAAATGATTTGTTTCCATTCTCAGGTTGTAAAGAAAATAAGCAAAATAGGTTCCTAAAGATTATCTGCCTTTATAGAATCAGTTCCTGGAAATTTGGGATGCTATTATTGTGTTTGTGTATGTATGTATGTATGTGTGTGTGTATATATATATATATATATATATATATATATATATATATAAAACAGTATAAAACTAAGTTGATAGAATGAGATACGATTAGTGAATAGGTCAAAATTTGAAAGCCCAGTTTTAAATTTTGAATTGTTTTCTTGTTTTCGTTATTTTTATATTAAGTTAAAAAAATAATTTATGCACGTTTTTATTGTTATTAGGTTGATTTTCCTCCTTCTTTGTGCGTGCACATCTGTACACCTGTGTATGTGCCAACAGCAGCAGAAGTGTTCATGATAGGAAATAAATAACTTCTTGATACACTACTGGGTTATTTTGTAAATAGTCAAACCATAAATATACTGCATTTGTAAGATTTATTCTGTAATTAGTACAATCCATTTTTACTTTACAATGTTACTATACCCAAATAATCTCCTTTGGACATGCAGAGCTCATTTTTCTTTTTGTACTTAAAAATTACATTAAAACTAATGGCTTCATCTGATTGGAAATTACTTTATTCTCTAAGTTGAAACAATTGTGTTGTGTCAACAAAAATTGAACTATGATGTGCTGTTTTTGTTGTGTTAGAGTAAAAATTACAAACAAGCAGAAATAAATATTTATATTGAGCCAGTTAAAATAAAAATTAGTTGTATTAATTAAAGAACCAATTTACAAATGCATTATGTGTATAGACTGACTGATAATAGCTTTTTTTTTTTTAACATTTTTTGCTAACGAAAAATAACTCTACAAATGTCTTCTGGATTTTATGTATAAAGTTGAGATATTTGGTTTGATTAAGGTTTATCCAGACTCTGTAAACTGGCAGTATTTGTACTGATTTCATCTTGACATTTTCATAACAACAAAGATGAGGACAACAGTCTGAGTGTAAATAATGTAAATAAGTGAATAATTTTTTTTTTTTGATTAACAGCAAGACTTCATTTTCATAGAGTCTTTTTTTTTAATTTTTATCCACATAGAACAGTGCTTCTTCTTCTATGTGCTGTGTCCCTTCAGGACATTGATGATCATTGCCCTCCACAATTTCCTGTCCTTTGCAGCTCTGAGTAAATTTTTTTTTTTTGCTATCTCTCCTAAACCCTGTTCTGCCAACCATTAATGCAAACTCATTAGGTAGATTATGTGTTGCTTTCCTCTCTCACTCTTGCCTTCAATATATCCTGTGAGTGTCAAATTCTTGAAGCCCTCTTTTCTCATTATGTGCTCTAGAAATTTCAGTAGCCTCTTTTTGATGTTAAGTATAAGTGTCCTTTTTGTTTCCATTTTCTTTAAAACTTCATTGCTGCTGACATGTTCATTCCATGGTATTCTCATCATCCTTCTGTAGAACCACATTTCTGTTGCTTCAGTTTTCTACTTTATCTGTGAAGAGATTGTTCAGCATTCACAGCAATATAGAAGGACTGATATTACATAACAGTTCAGTGCTCTTTGTTTCAAATGAAGATTAATTAGTTTTTCTTTATTTTTTCTGTATTTTTTTTAGTTTTATTTTAAATACATACAGACCTCAAGACAGAGAGAGCTAATTATACTTTTGTATGAGCATCTACATATTAGAAATATTAGATAATTTTTCCATACTTAATAATTGTTTATTTTGTATTTTTAGCCAATAGAACGGAAACCTCAGCGCTATAAACCATTGATCATTCCAAAGAGTTTGCAACAGGCTTTGCCTTTCAAGAGTACACACAAGAACATTGCACCAAAGCAAGAACCCTTCAAGAGAGTTGCTGTCGTAAAAGATCCCAAAGAAGCCAAGGTTAGTTTTTTTTTTGCTTATAGTCTAATAATTTCTTAATGGTACAAAATTTAATTATTGTATGAAGAAATGAAACAATAAAACAGAATTACCTATAAAACCTCATTTTTATTGATAATTCTGTTTTGTTTTGTATTTTAAGTTTATCCTCTTTGATAAGAGTTGATTGATGCGATGACCACTTAAGTGAATTTACATTGTCTTGTTTTTCAGAATAGCGTTCAATGTCTTCAATTCTTCATACTATGTTTATATTCAGTTGATATTTCCTTGCTATATTTATTTAAACTAGTAGAGTACTTGTCAAAAATGGCAGATTTATTTATGTATTGATAAATTATACAAATATATATTTTAGTAGAAATGTATAGCAAACAAAAAAAATGCATGTTGAATGAAATTTTATTATTTTTCTGATGATTTTCTACAGCTCTTCATATTGATTCTTTAATAATTTTAAATCGGAGACATCACCATTAGTAGTAGTAGTAGTGATATTACCAGCAGTAGTTGTCTATCTTCTGAGAACACAAACATGGTAGAGCCATTTTGTGTCTGTACATTTGCAGTACTCTCTTCCTTTCTTTGTTTAAACACTGACAGAAATAAAATAAAAACAAACTAAAAAGTGACAAGAGTTTTTATATCATAATAAACTAAAGAAACTTCAGCCGTCTTTAGCAGAACAGTGAACTCTCAACTAAAATACTAGTAATTATGTGTCATGAAACACCATTTCCTGCCTGATCACCGAAGTTAAGCAATGTCGATCCCCTGATCAGTACCTAGATGGGTGACTGCTTGGGAAAACCAGGTGCTGTAAGTTTGTATATGTGAGTAGTCTAATGGATATTGGCTAGGAATTGTTAATTTGTGTACCAAGTTCTAATTACCATTGGGTTCATTATATTCAAGTATGTGCAAATATCCTTGGAAAAGGTATGAATCCACTTCACCTCCTCCAAAGCTATGGATTAATTAGTAAAAATTGTATCACTAAACCAATATATCTTTAAAAAAAATTCTTACAATCTAAAAATATTTTTTGGATTTAAATAACCTGCAAAAGTTAAGCTGTAGAAAATGGATCCATCAAGTACAGGGGAACTCTAATCACTAGCCAAATACAGGAACACACTAATCACTGACCAAATAAAGAGGTACTCCAATCACTGACCAAATAAAGAGGTACTCCAATCACTGACCAAATAGAGGTACTCCAATCACTGGCCAAATACAGGGACATTCTTTTGCAGACTGATTACTGGGAAATTTTAATGACAGTTCAAATGCTGGGACTTTCTAATGATGAACAATTTGACTTTTTAACCTCTGTTATTGTTTTATTTTGTTTCCCAGGCCAATTTCTATTTAATATATTTTGTTTCTTCTTAATCTGCAGATGTCTAAAATGATGAAGATGTTACGTGAATTGTATAAACACAAGCAGTATGAAGATAGATGCAAAATGAGGGAAAGAGTGGATAATCACCGAGCGCAGATGGCCATAGATGAAGAACGCAAATTAAAACGTTTAAAAGACATAAAGAAAGTGGTATACCGAAGAATGGGAAAAGCGGAACAAAGTAAAAAGGAAGCCGAAGATGATGACATTTGATGCGATGTCCTGATTACTAGGTTCATATTTCAGTTGTCAAGCCTCACATGCCATCACCCCTCATTAAACCTTACATCTCTGTTAAGAGGTGCTGGGCTGTGAGATGTACAGTGCATGAAATAAATTATTTTTTATAAAGAAATGCCTGTATTTTTCATTTATAAAATGGCATATGTTTATTACAGGTTTCTGCTGTAAAATATAAAATTTTAAAATATTTTTATACTAGTGTATCGATGCCATAAAAAAATGATGGCATTTGTTAGAAAGTGTTAATATTGAGATGCAATGAAACAGGTTTTAAAACAATTTGAGATTCAATAAATCAGAGATACAGAATTCACAATTAAAATAGATCAATGACTAGAAGTAACCACACATAAATTTACTAATTTGATTTATCTCCCTTCTCAATAGAGAGTGACACAAAAGATATAAATAAATGAATAAACAACTTATTATTTATAGTGTTGATAAAATGCACTTAAAAAACTCCTGTGAAAAATCACTGTTTTATATTTCAATGTTTGTACTAGACTAAAACTTCTGCTTTGCACATGAATTCTCTGATGATTTTTTTAAAAGCTATATTATTTCACAACTTTCTTTAATATTTGTGATTTTCTCTTACAGTTTTTGTGAAAGGTAGTAAAATGGTTTCACATTGATTTCTCCATGTTTTTAAATTCAGAGCTCTCCTTGTAGACTAGTTCCCTACCAAAGCAAGAGATCCCTGTGTGCTACCCTACTATTTTATATATTGCTAGTGGAAGCAAAGAGATAGATTCTTGTTTTTCCCAAGGGCATTAGTGCAAAACATATGCAACAATCTTAGAATTTGACATGCCTTTTTATTGAGTATGTTGACATCATTAATGGGGAGGTTGTGTGTGGTGAGCAGTAGCAAATGTATTGATATTTGGTTGGAATTCAAGTTTTAATCCTATGTCATCATACTCTCCTACGTTCAGTTTGTTTTTCTGCTTAAGTAGAATTGCACTCATCTGACTAAAACCAGCTTCAACCATGTATGAAATTGGGAATGCAAGTAAAAATTCTCAACAGCTGCACTAAACTTGGAGTTGTTTATTAGCACTATTTACATTACACCAATGGTTACAGCTTACGGCCACATAATGTTGAAACACTACGATCACCAAAGTTAAGAGAATTTGAGCCAGGCCAGTATTCAGATGGGTGACTGCTTGGGAATATCAGGTGCTGTAAGATTGGATGTGTGGGTGGTGTAATGGATAATGACTCAGAATTATTAATTGGAGAGCTGTGTTCCAATTCCCATTAGGTTCATTATATTCACTTATGCACAAAGGTAAAAGGTATGATTCTACCTCTTCTCACCTGGGTTAATTAGTAAGACTTGTATCACAGCAAAAAGGTGGATAAGCTATGGAAAGCAAATCAGGTAATCCCGTGATCAGTAAGGATTTTGCTTTTGAATGATGATTCACCTTTGAGATCCATACCAATATCAATTACAAGTGAGATTCAATGTCTGCATTTTCTCTTTGACTCCTATCAAGATCTTTTATCCTTTAACATGCTGGAGGCGAAAATTGTCGCTGCAGAAATCTCCCCCTTTGCAGCTCTAGGTGCATTCTGTCACCTTGAGGCAGTTGCTATAAATAAACACTTGTCAACTGTTATTTCCGGTATTCTAAGTTGGAATTTGCCTACTACTGCTTTGGAACAAGTCTAAACTTCTGTTTTCTGGTGCCATTTTGAATTCTTCTAGACACTACATGAGAAATGTAACAAACCAATGTTAATTTATTTTGTGATTTTTTTTGTTAATAAAAATGGCCACATCAACATCCAAAGAAGCTTTTATTCAGGACTTTTATTTTGATTTGGACTCCGATGATGATTTTGAAGGTTTTACTCGAGTGGATATTGATGGTGAAGTTGTCAAAGGTGATAACCATGCATCACTGTGGAGGAAAACGATGATGACCACTAGTGGCTACTATCATCTATGACTGACTAATTTTATGAAAGCTCCTGGTGGCCATTGATGTACTTGACAGCCTTTCTGAAGGTGAAATAATTCATCTATTTATAATAACTTTATTTGTCAATGAGACAAATGAATATGCTAGTCAGGTGAAAGAAAGACCAAACAAATACTGGTGTCTTTTCGTATGTAAATACGAGGAAGCATGTCACTTTTTTAATGAAATGAAAGCCTTCTTAGCCATTTTGCTTCTTATTGCACCCCAGAACTGCATAAGGAGTAATAAAAAAATTGTTTGTTATTTTGAATTTCTGTTTTTTTTGTTTTCAATGTCAAAACAAACCTGCAAATCGTAATGCATTACATAATGTATTACATCAAAATATTACTCATCCTTTCTTTTATTAGTATACAAAAAATAAAATCTATACATACAATACAAAGAAAGTTATAACAATTTGAAAAGAGTAGGTGTTCCTGTTTTGCGTCCTCAAAAAAATGCAGTGGCAGGGGAGACAACTCCAGAAAGAAATTAGCATGGTAAAGGTTAAATATATTTTAAAGTCTTCTCTTAATTTTACCAGATCCTTTTTATATTTCTAGGTATGAGTTTGAAATTTTTATTTTGTATCTGAATCTGTTTTATTGTCCCAAAATTTTAATTGATCCATGGATATTTATTGACTACCTTTTCATCCTGAGGCATTTATCAACTCCTTGGATAGATCCATCAAGCTCCAGGGTTTGATATCAATCACTTTGGGGAAACCCTGATTTATCCTCTCATCTTTTTCCCCTTCTTATATGCAAGATTTCATCAATAAAAACATTGGTTTCAAAAAGTTCATTCACAGAATGAAATTCATCACTAAGAAATTGTTTCATTTTGCTATTCACTTAGCCACTGTTAGTCTGAGACGCATATACACACACAATACTGTGATGTGGCAGCATAGTACCCAGACATCATGGAAATGTGCATACTGTTGCTCACCCTCCCTATTCTCCTGATTTGGCCCCATTTGATTATCATCTGTTCCCCAACATAAAAAAAAACTATGACATTATATATATGCTGTTGATGACTTTTTTGATCAACGGAATGAAAGCTTCTTTACTGATGAGATCCAAGTACTGCAACATCAATAGAAAGAGTGTATGAACTGCAAGGGGGACTATGTTGAAAAATAAACGTCATTTGGTTACATTTCATGAAAGTATCTTGGAAGCTTATGAACATTTCAGCTGACTTTTTTTTTTTTATACTAATGTTCACTTTGATCAAGGCCCAAGAGCCATTTGAGGTAGTGGGTGACTGAAGGGGTTTGTTGTGTAAGAGCATAAGCTAAGAGGTGTAGCCTTTGAAGCTATGTTGGAAAAACAATGGTTAACCATAAATTTGAAGAGGTTAAGATTGGAGTGGTTGAGAAAGCAGCCTCTTGTGGTATGTGAGAAGAAACTGTTCCAGTGGAACTGACTAATGGAATATGAAGGGAATGCTTGTGGTTCACATCAGTGTACATGGAATGGTGGTTCTTATCTGTGAGGGTTAGAACAGGTGGAACTAAGGCATGTAGGTTTTCTGAACATTTCCTATGGAAACAGCAATAGAGTACCAAGAAGCTAGAAAGGGGTGGCAGTGTGGAAAATAATTCATCACCCACAAAGCCTTAGATACTTTTAGACTCTATGCTCTGACATCTGGTGAATTAGTGGCTACATTGCTCATGACAAGATGACATGAATTATTGGAGTTTGGACAGTATTATAATGGGTACCAGATGGATAGGACATTTCATGAAATTATAGGGACATTAGACATCCATTAATCTATGGTATCACATGTGTATTAGGATTACCTTATGGAAGGCATTACTATCCACTGTAAATAGCACAAATTTTGGCATCTAATCATTTACTTCAACCTGAAGAGATGTTTCATTTATTAATAAGTTGGAGTAAAGAGTAAAGTATGGGTAAAGTCAGTGGATATATGTAAGTAACTCTATTTAAATAAATGAAATATTTTCTAATTAAATTTTCGAACATTTTTACACTATATTTGGACTATTGACCTGTTGTGCCCTCCAGTTGTGTTTGTCTTATTTTTATTTGTTATGTTCAGTTGTTGATTTTTCATTTCCACTGAGTACAAGTACACTCTGCCTGACCCAGGGATTGAACTCACAACCACTATGTCACAATGCTTTTATTCACTAGGATATGAGATGTAAGACAACTTACTGCAGTGAACTTGGAGCGTTAAAGCTAACTTAACTGTCGATTAAGTTGCAACTGCTGCTGCTCATGTTTTGATTGATGCTGCTGCAGTTGAAGACTTGTTGTCTTTGTCTTTGTTTCTTTATTAGCAGCTCCCATATTGTATTTAATTCTAGCATATGTGCTGATTCTTTCAGACATCTAACTCTCTAGTGTTATTCCTTGTCCAGTATTTTCATTTAATTTCACAGGGTCTGATGACTACTAATTTCCATCTATACATGATCAGTCATGTTCGATTTCATTGTCTCACCCCTTGCTACGATGTTTCTCCAGCCTTACATTTAGGAAACGACTTGTTTCACCTTTATATTCTCTACCACAACTGCAGGGAATCAAGTACATGCATTTCTTGACCATATTCTTCCCTGAGTACAGCCTAACAATGAGGAGAATATGATCAAGAATTGCCTGTACTCGATTCCTTGCAGTTGTTGCAGAGAATATAAAGGTGAAACAAGGGGCATCTCGGCGTGGTGTAATGGTTAGCAAACTCATCTCACTACAACAGTTATGACTTAATAGTGAGTTCGATCCTCACTGGGTGCTCCACACTCTGTGCCATGTGCCACATCTAAGCTACACTTAGAAAATCATTAGGGTACCTCAAGGTGGTGTAATAGTTAGCAAGCTTGTCTCGTTAGAACCATTACGATTGAGTAGTGAGTTCGATCCTCACTGGGTGCCACATACTTTCGGTCTTGTGCCACATCTAAGCTACGCTTGGAAAATCCCTTTAAAAGTGAAA